TATACAATTGTTTCATGGCTATTTGGGGAACAGTCAAAACTATCATCCCGAGGTAGGGGGAAGCCCTGGGGAACTGTTTGCCCGAGGCCGCTAGGCCAAGGGCAAACAGTTCCACAGGGATTCCCCCTACCGAGGGTTGATAGTTTTGGCTGTTCCCAAAATAACCATGAAACAATTGTTTTATTACCAAATAAAAATTAGTATCAATGCTGCATGCAATATTGCCATTGCTTCAACACTGAGTTGCGGTCACCGCAACGCTTGAACGGGCTCTCGAGGGGGGATTTCTGCGCATCGAATTCGCGCCGGGTAACAGTTCGCTCTGACCGGGAAAACAGTTTTGACTGTTTCACCCCTACAGCCGAAATTGGACAAATACAGCAGAAATTGGACAAAAGGCCAGAAACAGTCAAAAATGACTAATTATAATTTATATAGACTATTGGGTGATAAAGGTAGTTTAGTCTAGCGTAATGTATAAGATGGACAACAAGTGCTTACAAGCCTGTTTACAAATACCCCCTTAAAGTGTACCCTGCGCGAAATTAGTAAAAATCGGTCAGCTCAATGCCGAGATATTGAAGTGTAAAGTGTACGATTTTAACCGGTCCTTCTATTTCTAATAAGCATAATCGTAATTTCGGGTGAACGGGACACTTTTTGTCTGGACTGCGGAAGCAGTAACCGAGCATAGATGTAATATGTTCCGGTCTTTTTATCCGCTGCCGATTTTTTTTAACATTTTATTTTTATCATATTGTTCAAATATAAACATATAGATGTTTGACGAAGTCATCGATTTTTTGCATGACTAGAGTGTGTCTTTTGGCTGACGGGTTGGTTTTGACGACGTCATCGAGTGTTTTGGCTTTCGTTAGAACTTTGACGACGTCATCGAGTTTTTGCATGACTGTAGAGTGTGTATTTGGACTAACGGGTTGGTTTTGATGACGTCATAACCAGAAGTGAAAAGTGCAAACTTGTTAAACGAAATTGGAAAGACAGTAATATATCCGGAAATTTTAAGTCATTTTGTTTTTTTGGAGTCGTCCTGTTTTGGATTCATTCTGTTTTTTGGAGTCGTCCTGTTTTTCAAGTCATCTTATTTTTTTGGAGTTATCCATTTTGATGTCTTTTACTTGAAATATTCTGCTTTCCAACGAAAATGTATTTTTTTGAGGTTTATTAATATTTTTCTGACAAGTATTTTCCCTTTTTTTTTTTAACAAATAAAGTATTTTTTTATTAACATATTGATATTTTAACGAAAAAGACATCTTACAGGCTGAACGAGCTGATACGCGTGTATGGCGTGATTTGATCTGTTTTTGGAGTCATTCTGTTTTTTGGAGTCGTACTGTTTTTGGAGACATCCTGTTTATTGGAGTTATCCTTTTTGATGTTTTTTACTTGAACTTTTCAAAATTTCAACGTAAATGTAGAAAAAATTTAATTTTTTTTTAAATATTTTTCTAACAAATTAAGGTTGTTTCCCTTTTTTTCAAACAAATTAAGTATTTTTTTATTAATTTATCGATATTTTAACGTCAAAATAGATTTTTGTCATCAGTTTTTTCATGCTGAACGAGCTGAACGGGCTGATACACGTGTATGGTGTTATTTGGTATTTTGGAGTCATCCTGTTTCTGGAGTCATTCTGGTTTTTGGAGTCGTCCTGGTTTTGGAGTCATCCTGTTTTTTGGAGTCCTTCTGTTTTTTGGAGTCATTCTGTTTTTTGGAGTCATCCTATTTTGGAGTTTTCCTGTTTGGCATGCCAGGGCTATCTTGATTCCAATCTCGTGTAATGTAATGATGACAGAAAATGGTAACGGGTCCCCCAGGTTGTTTATCATTTATTATGAAAACTGTAAATAACCCATATTAAACAGTGTACCATCGATAACTCATTGTAGCCAGCTTTTCTCTTTAATGCTTTTATGAGCAATAACAAATTTTAACCGTCAAAATCAAGATGGCCACCTGTCAACAATTTCGTTTATTCCATCTGTCACAGAATTAAACGTGCATAATAAATAACCAAGGGGAACCTACGTAACAAATGTGAGAAAGATCCATCTAGTACTTTCTTAGAAATAGCGATAACAAACATTCATTGTCAAAGTACAAGATGGCCGCCAGTCAGCCATATTGCTGATCCGATCGGTCTTAAAAGGAAACATGCACAACTAAAGACCAAGGGAAACGTACATATCAAACTTCAAAAGATCAATCTAGGACTAAGGGAAATAGTGATAACAAACCTTCACTGTCAAAATCCAAGTTTTTATCCGATCAGTGTCAAATATCAATATGCATAAATAGTCACCATGGGAAGTATTAATGCGAAATATGAGAAAGATCCATGGGGTTATTTTTGAGAAATAGTGCTTACAAACTGTGACTCAATAAATTAAAGATGGCGCCTATCGGCCATCTTGGTTTTTCGATCAGTATCAAAGTTGGATATGCATAACTAGAGACCAAGGGAAACCTTCATGTGAAGTTTGAGAAATATCCCTTTGGTACTTTCTGAGAAATAGCGCTAACAAGAATTATTAAAGGACGGACGGAATGACGGACGAACGGACCACGGACGCAGTAGTGAAAAATGTATAAAAATACTAGATGCCCATTACTTTCAAAAAATGTTTACAGGTTTTATAAAAAAATCACAAAGTGGAAAATTGTACAAGATTGGTATTTTGCTACTTATTTATTCAACAACCAATATCATACCAACATACCAAAAGAAAGAAAAATAACACAGGTAAACATATGACGTCACCTGAAGTCAACCAGTGCAAACCCCCCTAAATCATCCCCTATACTAATGGGGGTAGGGGTAACATGATTTAAATTTCCGAGATACAAACATAACGAAAAAACGAGCACACGGACATACAATTTTCTTTGTGTTTTTTTATTTTCTCATATTCTCCTTTTGCCAAAATTCCATATAAGAAAACAAGATTAATATAAGAAATGTTTGATGTCACAGCCTCTGTACCATAAACGCGTGGAACTTTTCGTAACGCATTTGTACACAGGCTGGATCAACAGGCCAACAGACAGTCTCAAGTCTCAAGGCTGTGTACCCGGCAGGGGCAGCCCCATATACTGAAAAGTATGAAGGAAAAACAATAAAATACCGGAGTGTTAACAAAACTTGAATTCGAATTCAAAAAAGAAAATGACCTTTGAAATAGTACAAGGAGAATAAGACAGGGTGTTCCGGAAGGGTAAGCGTTTTCTGTGCCATCGATGACGTCCGCTATGTAAATCTAAGTCGAATCCAAGTAATGCCACGTCATCACATTGAGAACTCCGGTAGTGATAATAAAACAATAAAAGTATCACATTTAATTTCTCAACCTTTTAATAACAAACTTGTATTTAAAGATTACATTTTATCATATTAGTATTTTATGTAGAATTTTCATATAAAACAAAGATTTGGGGGAAATACGGATATTCTCAGGTATTGTTGATACGGAGTGGGACTAAAGGTCTGACATTAAATTACACATTTTGATATTATAAATGTTTAATCTTACTTGCACAATATTCGTACATCTAACCGTCTCTAGAATTCCAAAAATAACAACATAAAGGTTCCAACTTCTTTTCCTTAAATTCACGATATATTTCCCCGTGGAATTCATTAGTTTTCTGGAAAAGGCACAGTAAAGTAATTGATTTGGAATATATATATTGTGAGGACATTTATCTTCGTTTATCTAAAATAATTGTTGTGTGCCTTTTGGTCGTCGTGTATTCAATGCATAGCCCTTTAACAATTGCCTAATGCACAATTCCAAAAATACCGTACTAAGTACTTGTATATATAACTTACAAATATTTTACACTGTAATGTTTTAATACGTACCCGTTTATTCAGGACAACACACTGCCCACCTGCCTGCTGCATCATTGCAGCAGAAATATGTTTTTGGACATACTTTTCTTAAGGGGCCATCGCCGCAATACCATAGCTCCTCGTACGTGTCAACTAAGGGCTGGAAACCGCTGCAGCACGCTGGTTTGCTTGTTGTGAAAGATGGTTCTGGAAATTCTAATATAAAAAATTGTTACTTTTGATGCAATATCTAAATTCGTGGTCTAAACGTCACAATGTTTTTTTGTTTTGCTTGGGAGATATTATGACTGATTTTGATAACTTCTGGGAACACTATCTTCATTCGTTCAGGTTTAGAAACATCACGCAACAGAAAACGATTTTAGTGATAGGTTTGGAAACAACACACAACAGAAAACGACTTAAGTGGTTGGTTTGGAAACAACACTCTGTACAGAAAACGACTTAAGTGGTAGGTTTATAAACATCACACAACAGAAAACGACTTAAGTGGTAGGTTTGGAAACAACACTCTGAACAGAAAACAACTTTAGTCGTAGGTTTAGAAACAACACTCTGTACAGAAAAAAACTTTAGTGGTAGGTTTGGAAACAACACTCTGTACAGAAAACGACTGCAGTGGTAGGTTTGGAAACAACACACTGTACAGAAAACGACTTTAGTGGTAGGTTTGGAAACAACACTCTGTACAAAAAACAACTTTAGTGGTAGGTTTGGAAACAACACTCTGTACAGAAAACAACTTTAGTGGATGGGTTGGAATCAACGCTCTGTACAGCAAACAACTTTAGTGGTAGGTTCGGAAACAACACTCTGTACAGAGAACGACTTTAGTGGTAGGTTTAGAAACAACACTCTGTACAGAAAACGACTTTAGTGGTAGGTTATAAACAACACACTGTACAGAAAACAACTTTAGTGGTAGGTTTGGAAACAACACACTGAACAGAAAACGACTTTAGTGGTAGGTTGTAAACAACACACTGTACAGAAAACGACTTAAGTGGTAGGTTGTTAACAACACACTGAACAGAAAACAACTGAAGTGGTAGGTTGTAAACAACACACTGTACAGAAAACGACTTAAGTGGTAGGTTGTAAACAACACACTGAACAGAAAACGACTTTAGTGGTAGGTTGTTAACAACACTGTACAGAAAACGACGTAAGTGGTAGGTTGTAAACAACACACTGTACAGAAAACAACTTAAGTGGTAGGTTTTAAACAACACACTGAGCAGAAAACGACTTTAGTGGTAGGTTGTAAACAACACACTGTACAGAAAACGACGTAAGTGGTAGGTTGTAAACAACACACTGTACAGAAAACGACTTTAGTAGTAGGTTGTAAACAACACAATGTACAGAAAACGACTTTAGTTGTATGTTTGGAAACAAGACACTGTTAAAATACGGCTTAAGAATTGCGAATATTATTTTATATTGTAACGTTAATGTGAAACCTGGTGTTACTTTCGCAGCAGGACAACACACTGCCCACAAGTCTGCTGTGTTAGTAAAGCAGGAATAGCCCTTTGGACAAGTCGTTGTGGAGGGGCCAGAGCCACAAAACACTTGCTCCCCATGGCTGCGGCACGTACGCTGTATTACTTGTTGGGGAACATTATTCTTGATACCGTATTCAAGTTCATGATACCTTTTGTAGCAGTGTACAGTAGAGGGCTGTGACCATGGGTGATATTTTTGTTAAATGGCTAAAACCCCTGTATAATTATGACATGTAAAAAAAATATAAAAATAAAACTGTACTAAAATTGGTATAAGCATGATGAAGTTGACTATGTGGGCTTCACATTTGTAAAGAAAATGTTTTTGGTTAGAGAATAATATTTTGGCCATTTTCCACAAGGGCTTATACACATGAAATTACTTTACAGGGTCAAAAATGGTGTTTTTTGGCATTTTGTTTTTGAAATTTTTGATTTGGTAACCATATGGGTTTCACACAAGTGACATACATAGAAAAAAAGAAGTGTATACACTTTTCAGTACTTTATATGTATCGCAAATATAATGCAGTTAACACACACATGTATATATATATATGTGTGTGTCGTGTAGGGTAAATCCGTTGTGTTTACATTTCTGAGACATGTACTTTGTTTGTTTAGAGTCAGACCATCTCTTCTGTTAACTACTTCCTTATACAAATAGAGAGAAAAAACATCTAAGAAATGTGTGCATTTTATACTTGGTTAAGCCTTATTTACACTCAGTATTTGCGTAGAACAACAAGAAAGAACAAAAAAAAATGATTTTTGGCACAATCTATTTATTCATAGTGGGAATGAATAAAGGGAAATCACTCTGCAATTCTTAAATTTGTTGAATAAATTCCTCTGCAGTCAGTAACAGACAACAAGCAAATCTCACAATACATTTAGACTAAATATCAGTGTATTTTAGCTTATAATGTGGTATCCATGGTAACCAATTAAGAAAAAAAAGCTTTTTTTTTTTAAATTTCATTATATACCAATTTACATTGTATCTATAATTTTGTTTTTGATAGATATCTTCTACAGAAACATTAAGCAGCGTGTAAAATGTCAATTATATTCAGTTCGGTAATATCAGTGGCAGAAAAGCGTTTTTTTTGTGTGTGGCGAAATTGGCTTAGCATATAGATTCCAGTGATCACTGTCATCAATGGGTAGGAACAGTAAATAGAGATGGCTATGGTGTCATACCTGTGATGATCCGGAATCGCAATCACAATCGCATGTGTCTCATCTTTGTCACAACAAATTGTGCGTTAATGTCGACCATGTCTTTAGAGCCATGCAACATCAACAGTGATAGGAGGTTTTGTATGCTTGATAGAGTATGTAGAGGGCACCGAGGCTTTGCTAATTGTATCTTTTGAATAGGGTGAGTATAGTGTTCATGACAGTTGTTAATCCCTAGTGAAATATGTGGTTTGTTTTAAAGTTCATGTCCAATGTTTGTTTATGTTGATACCATAGTTGTGTATAATACTTTGCTGGGGTGAGCTGTTTGTGTATATAGATTGTATTCTGAGTTTGCCTATGTGTCGACGTTGTTTGTATTGTGTTGTTTGTTTTCTGAGACTGTGATATCTGTCTGTGAGATCCTTTCTGGACATTTCTTTTCAGCAAGGATCCAGCCGGTGATATTTTAGGCCAATCTTCTTACTCAAGATGAGAGCTGATTGACCGGTACCTACTGTATCTGAGTGTACGGCTGAGTGGCACAGCCCATTGAAATGTTTGCCCCATAGGATGATCTTTGGTGCGTATGTAAATGTGCGGTGATTGAGGCTTTCTTTTTTGTTTGTTGTTAAAAGACCTAGAATTGTTTAGTGTAGCGATAGACAGACTGTTGTTTAGGACTGATTGTATTTTTAACTTATCTTCTGTACTGTGATGTAAATGAGGACCGTATGGTAAATATCTTGTATTGTATGATTGTAAATGTGCTAAACAGACACCAGAGTGTGCACGGCAGTTAGGAAAAGAAATACAACTTGGTAAAATGCAATACTGTTAAACGTGATAATTAAAGGAGTATTTTGTTAACTTAGTTCAAGTGCTTTTGATTATAATTAATGTTTCTAAATTGTAACTTAAAAGAAGAAAAAAAACTCAGTTTTGATCTCATTTCTTGAAATGTGAAAGATAAGTTGTGGTTGAAAACAAAAAATTTTAGAATTACAACATGTTTTTTTGTGTATTTAAACGCTTTTTAAAGAAGTTAAATCTGAAAATTAAACCAAAAAATCCAATAAAAATAGACTCAGTGATGTTTTAATTATTTCTAATTATTTTCCTACCTATCAAATACACTGTAATAAATGTTTTATATGAACAAAATATTGGATACGTTTATAAAATGTAGTTAATACGTTTCACTGAAAAGGTACCAATTAATCATGGTCCCAACGGTAGATCCTTTGAAATAAAACGGAAGCACATCGCAAACGTTGCGTAACTCGACACAAGCGTCGTCGAGGATATAGGTACCTCATAGAAACCACCGTCTAAGACGTTCTGACCGGTTTGCTGTTCTAAACACTGCACAACCTGAACGCTAAATAACAGTTCTTGAGTTTTTACTTAAAGACGTCAAATGTAAGAAATTGAAGTGATCGATCTCGATAGCATAGGCATCTAGACCAAAGGTCGAAAATTGGCACTTCCACAAGATGTTTCAAAAGTGACATTTCTTTCGATATATACCATACATAGTTAAGTATTGGATGGAATGCAACGCGAAGTAGGGGCATCAGTTCTCCAGATCATTACCAGTACATTACTAGAAACACGCTGAATTTTGTCTATGCACTATGTCTTAAGAGAACTGTAAATATCAAGGTTTGTGTTTAATCGGGCTGTGGGTAAGTTACCATGATTTCGGGAACAAGTCGTTTGTGTAACTTAACCAGTACTCGTCGATTTTAATTAAATTCATATAATTAACGGGTTTTATACACGCACAAAAAAAATCGAGAAAAACAGGTTTTCATGAGTTTTTGATTTCAATAACGTTTATTGCAAAGCAAAAAAAAAAGTAAGAATACACAACTAGAAATATCTATCGACAAACATTTTAAAACCTCACGCATGGGAAAAAGACGACGGAAAAAAACTCTATTGGAACAGTTTTTAATGAAGACACGTAAATATCATAAAGATTTAGGTCATTTGATGACAATTTTTATAAAACGTGTATCAAATAAGATAATTTCAGTTTAATAAATTATATATTTTTGTAATAAATATGTCTGCAAATGAACAGGGAGTTCATTAGAAGAGAATGCGATACTTCTGAAGAAATCGTCTTGTAAACTTCATCGGTATTGCCGATAACTGTTCTAAATCTATTTGGATATACCAATATACGTACCTGGTATTCGCCTGGTATGGACGGATAGGATTCCACAGAAGAGGAAAAGCAGATGTAACATGGCTGTGTGAATAGCGAAATGTGTTTAACACAGTTAAAGAATTAAAGTCATGAAAATAGTCATTTGTAAATAGTTTACCATTGTTACATAACGGCTCTTTATCTAACTATACTCCTGTAACCCAGGCCAACAAATAACCATGAGCTTAGCATTCTTCTATAGCGGTTTGATATTTACAAAGACCTACAAATACATGATACACGACATGAACACTAGTTAACATTACATAAATC